TTTATATAGTTACATAATTTTAGATTTTGGAAGTAAAAGCTATTTTTCTTAGCAATAGCTTTATTTTCAGCTTTTCTTTGATGTCTTTTGTCTTAAAGAAGTAAATTAGTGGATTCACAGCAGCAGGTAAAAGACTGTACATCATTATCACAACAGTTCGAACTGAAATGCTGAACGTGTAGCCCACAAAATTGGCCAAGTACACAAAACTTCGTGGCAGAAAATAAAGACATGTGATGATAAGTTGTGGTGTGCAGGTGGACAGAGTCCTAATGCGACTTTCAGAGGAGGAAATTCTCAAAACGACAACAATGATAACACAATAAGTTAAAATAATAAAACTCAGAGGTAACATCTGACTAAACATGGCAATACTGAATGCCACAACTGTGACCTCTTGTACGTTTTCACATCCAAGGCTTATTATTGATAAATGATCACAGTAGCACTGAACAATTATGTTTGAGTTACAAAATGGAAGTCTCAAAGCATCAAAAACAACACCAAACATAAAAGACATTGGTAGAAGCCATGAGACTCCACACAGCACAGAAACTGTGTTATTGGTGAAAAGTGAGGTGTAACGCAGCGGAGCACAGATTGCAGTAAACCGATCAAGAGCCATCACCATTAGAATGAAAGAATGAGCCGCACCTAAAAGGTRAACAAAGTACATTTGTGCAAAACAGCTGTAAAATGAAATAATGCTGTCATTAAACCAGTATTTTGATATGATCTTTGGTAGAGTTACAGTCCCAAACATGAAATCACTTAATGCCAAATGACAGAAAATATCATACGTTGGTTTGTGAAGAGACCGTTCAGATCTGACAAACACTAAAATAAAAATATTTCCTGCAGCTATAGCCAAGTAAAGCAGAAAAAGCAGAGCTGAGACAGGCCCGTAATACTGTGGCAGAAGTCCAGGGAATCCAAGGATGAAAAAATCCTTTATATTCGTCACGTTAGTGTTCATCATCATCACTTGAAATCACCTGGACAACATTAAAAAAAATGAAACAACTGTCTTAGTGATTATTAGATGTCACAACTTGAGATAATTCTAAACAATTTTCACACCCACATATACACTGCCAAACAAAATCTAACAAAACGTGCGTTGCAAAATGAAGCAAACAATTTTGTTTCTGTATATCTGTGAAACTAACATCAGCTTCCCTGAACATACTCCACCTCACTTTACCTTCACCTAATGTGTTGCACATTTTATGTTGCATTTCGTATCAGCAGGTACATACACAACAAGCAAGTTTCCCAAATGAATTCCAGTTCTATGTAAAGCACCTGTTGTCATGATTCATGACTTCCACAGCAGGAAATATAATCAGCTCTATCTGTTTCAGGTCCTGTTATTTACCAAATATCAGCTCTTTTTACGAGCTGTCTACAGCTTGTTAGGGTGGTAATACGGCACTTTATTAACTTCATTATAAACTAAGTAAAGTCAAATTTCAACTAACAGCAGCTGTTTGTAAAACTAGGAAGCTACTGTTTCCTGTCCATTGCGATCAGGATGCAAGGATAACTGATGCCCCCCCCCCCCCCCCGACCAACTGAAAAAGTAGCAACAAGAAACTTGTGACTTTTTCACTACCAACCTTTGTTATTATCACTGCTTTTATTTTAAAATGTAAAAAGGCACAGCTATCACTCATATTTCGTCTTTGTGTGGTTGCAATGTATTATTACTAATATAGTTTTTCATGCGTAGCCTCACAAAATATACAAAACATCAAAGTTAACATCTTTATATTGAAGAAAGTTGACATAGCACGGGATTTTACCTGTTTTGCCACACAACTGGCATATTTTCTTTTGAACTTGGCTCTGCCAAAGTGAAACAGGAAGTGACATCAAAGGGGAACTATGTAATAACAAAAACTCCTTGGTCTTTGTTTGTTGAAACAATGTTATTTGAACTCTATCTTATTCATCTCTCTATAGTGACTCAAAATAATTTAAAGAAACATCATATTCTTCTCTACAGTTTGTATTGTTAGTCATTGTAGCAATGCTCTGTTCACATGGAGACATTCCTCTTTGACATCACTTCCTGTTACTTTAAAACCGAATATCTCAATAACTGTTCATTTCAGTGATGTGATTTTTTTCTGCAATATTTTATAAATGCTATCTTTACAAAAATGTATTTATATATTTATTTAAAAAACATATGTCAGAGGCACTTTAATAAGTAACTAAACCAATTTGTGAGAAAATGAACAAAAATATTTCCAGAGTCGTCTTCAACTATATACTAAAAAAATAAAATCATCATAATGTTATATTTTTAAAAGTTTTTGTTTTATTTATTGTATGAACTTTTGCAAAACTATAATGTTTGTGAATAAACATCAACACGAAACTGTTTAAAATCTGCACTGAAACAAAGTACTTCGAGTTTTGTTAAATTTACTTTTATTTAAACTAATCAATTATTGTTGTTATTTAAATGAAAAAAAAGTCTTTGTTGTATATCAGCATCAGCTGCCCTGATTTGAAAAGTTTGGCATCATCGGCCAAAGAAAAACGTACTGTATATTAGTTGATTTTTATTTAATGAACACAAAACGAAAATGTCTGTTATGGACTAATTAAGTAAAGTTTTATTGTTGAATTTTTTACACTTTTAAAAATTGCAAAAACAGCACATTTTTTATTGCAACACCACAAGACCACAGTAAAACAATGAGGACAATCAAAAACAATTAAAGTGACAACAAGTATTTATTCTTGAACATTAACTTCTGTACAGTCACAATTCCTACACACATTGTAATATTCACAAGGTCCATATTTTTATCTCCATTCCAACTTTAGTTGTTTTCAGTTTCCTGACCAAAGTCTTCTTGATGTCCTGAGTCTTGAAACAGTAAATAATTGGATTAACTGCAGCAGGAAGTAGACTGTACAACAGGATTATGACAATGCGGAAATCTAAACTCAAAGAAATCCCAAAAGTATTAGCAATATAAACAAAACACCTGGGCAGATAGAAAAGACAGGTTATGAATATTTGAGAAGAGCAGGTTGAAAAGGCTCTTGTGCGACCTGCAGTGTTCGACATTTTCATAATCACCACAATAACACAAACATAGGAAAATAAGATAAACGCAAGAGGCAACAACAGAGAGAACATAGCCAGGGAAAAAGTTGTGACTTGAACACTTTTAGCATTGTTTCCACACGCCTGGTTTATTAAAGACATGTGGTCACAGATGCACTGCTCAATAACATTTGATCTACAGTAAGGTAAACTAATGGTTTGTATTATTATGACCAACATAAAAGACACGGGTATTAACCAAGCTAAACCACAGAGTGCAGATATGATGCTGTTTGTGATCAGGACACGGTACTGAAGTGGGAAACATATTGCAATGAACCTATCAAAAGCCATTACTGATAGCATAAAAGACGTCACTGCACCCAAATAATGAATAAAGAACATTTGTATAAAACATCCGTAAAATGAAATAAGATCATCTCCAAACCAGTATTTTGATATGATCTTTGGGAGCGTAGTTGTGCCAAATGTAAAGTCATTCAGTGCCAGATGACAGAAGACAAGATATGTAGGTTTCTGGAGCGTCTTTTCAGAAAACACAATTGCTAAAATGGAAATATTTCCTACTACAATAGTTAGGTAGAAGAAAAAAAAGACAGCTGATACTGGTCCATAGAACTGTGGAGAAAGTCCAGGGAATCCAAGGATGACAAAGTTTTTCACCCTTGTGACGTTTAATGTGATTACCATTTTCTTGAATCCCTATAAAATGAAATCACAATTATTGTAGAAAGCCATGATTGTATTTTATACGCATTACTATTACATAAATACATCAGTAATAAAGAATTTGGGGTCTTTTATTGAATAGTGTCTCAACTGACACAATACATTCAGCCTTTATAAATTCTAAATGTGTGGTCTGGTCATTTGTAGCAAAGAAAACAGCTTAAATGACTTAAAAACAGCTTATTCATAAAACAGATGATTGTTAAAGCCATAAAACTGATAAAAATGTAAAAGTAACTACAAAGACATTTCACTTCTGCCTTTTAGTAAATTCATGACATAATTTTTGCTCACACACTTTGACTGTATTTCAAAACATTTCACCACCCAACATATAATCTGTTATAAGGCTTTCTTAACATATAATACATTTTAAACAAAGTTACAGCAAAGTAAAATCGTCATTACGGTGTTGGTGTTTCCCAGTCTGTTCCATGAGCCTTACCTCTCTGAGGCAGATCAGCAGCTAAAAGCTGAGAATCAGTGGGTGACAGATAATATCAGCATGTTGTTGTGTCCAACCAGGCACATCCTCAGAGGGAGGTATTCTCAGGTGACTTTAAAAAAAACCCTCAAACGTTTTCTTTCTATGTTCTTATCTGTGAGCGTATGTAATCTTTATGTGACCTGAAATAAGCTTAACTTTGTGTTGATTCACAAACCAGTTTACGCTAAAGTTTGGATGCTGAAGTTAAATAAAAAACCTTCATGTTATTTCTTTTTAAATTAAAGGTCAGTTTAAATTTGCTGCCAGCAAAATGCTTGCAAAGACTGGGCTATAATCTTGCTGAATTTGTTGTGTCACACCTACTATTAGTAACATTCTGTAAGAGTTTGAGAACATTTCTTTCTTTTGTTTTTTACATTTAAGAGCTGCCTTTACATTTGCCAAACAAGTCCTAAATCAGTGGGTTCACACCTGAATCACCTTAACAGCTTGTCATCAGGTCCTCCAGCAGCCTGCTCAATACTCATCAATTTAAAGTGAGTGTGCTGAGGTTTGGAAACATTCAGAGCAATATGATCTAAAGACACATGACTAAATCTATGTTTTTATTTAAAAAGCACCTAAAGGCTTTATATAGTCACTAGTGGTTTTTTATTTTATTGTGTTTTTTTTCTTTTTTTGTGTTATCTATGTGTGTCAAAATTATTCAACAATATTTAGTATTTTGCTAAAAATTGCAGTGCATGGCAGTTTTTTTTATGACAATGACTTCAATCTACTTTCATTAAAACCACAGAGAGAGCACTTTATTGCAGTAGATAAAAAAATTCTCCATTACATCACACTCATTTTCTGTACACACTATGGTTCAGGGTCTTGGTGTCAGACATGGAACCTATTTCAGACCTCACTGAGTGAGAGAGGCCACCACAGAGAGGTATGAGGAAAACAGCCATGCATACACAGCACAACTACAAAAATCGAGGCACATGCAGCCATGGAGGAGGAAAGTGGCTGTTTGGGACAAGAAATTTTGTTATTTTACTTCAAGTTATCTATTTCAAGCTTTTTTTTTAGAGCCTGACAACTGAATCAGTGCCACCTATGTTAAGGTTGGTAATAATGAAAAATCCAGCCAGTGCCAGAACTCATTTGCAAACTTTCTTTTGGGGTTTTATATACTTGAAACAAAACTTTTTAGCCGTATCGCAAAATCATTAATTGTAGTTCTCATTTTCTGTAACCTCTCTGTCCTTTTGACAAAACACTTAAACATAAGCCCATTCTGAGTTTATTTTACAAAAAAAAGTTTTAAGTTTCTAAACTTCTAAACTAAAGGAAGTTGATGCATTGATGGAAAGCTGAAGCTGGAACTGGGAGAATATGCAAATTCCACACAAAAAAGCCCCAAACAAGATTTAAATCTGATGCCTTCAAGTGAAGTTGACGTGTAGCACATTCTTTTATCATGAGGGCTGTGTTGTTTAAAAATAACCATTCCTAAGAAAAATATTAGTTTCGAAGATAGATATTAGAACAAATTGATTTCTCAGGTACTGATTGTTGAAACTTGTACCTTTGGAGGCACAATTCTGTAAAACTGCTTCCACAAACATTTCCTTATGTCTTTCGCTCTCAGGCAGTAAATCAGAGGATTGACCATTGGAGGAACAAGGCTGTAAAGCATTACGATTACAATACGCACATCTGCACTGAAACTAATCCCAACATTATTGGCCAAATATACAAAACATTTTGGTAAATAATAAAGTGAGATTATTATCAGCTGAGTGCTACATGTTGACAAAGATTTTCGACAATTTTTCCAACCAGATATCTTGCTTGCCTCCATAAGTATGGAGCAATACGAGAAAACTATAAAAGCCAGAGGGACAAGGAGAATAATCATTGCACTGATAACAGCTGGTACAGCATATGGGGTCCTGTCAGTGCAGGCCAGAACTGTTATCCCAATATGATCACAGAAACAATGACTGATTACATTTGGGCCACAATAAGGAAGAGGATATGCTCTAATTATTAACATTAATGGAATTACAAAGGCCATTATCCATGCAGTCAGACTGAGAATAAGTATTCTGATTTTTGTAAAAACAATTGTATATTTGAGTGGATGGCAGATTGCACAATACCTGTCAAAAGCCATGAGGAAAAATATAAAAGAGTTCACTGAACCAAGATAGTGAACAAAAAACATTTGGACAAAACAGCCATTAAATGAAATGGACCCTGATTTAAACCAATACCTGCTGATGATTTTAGGTAAAGTTGTTGTGCTGAACAGAAGGTCACATACAGATACATTTAAGATGATATAATACACTGGCTTATGGAGACAGCGGTTAGTTGCAAATAAGAGTAAAACTGTAGCATTTGCTATGACAGTCATCAAATACACAAAGAACAAAAGAGCTGAAACAAGACCATAGTACTCTGGATGAAGTCCAGGGAATCCAGTCAGAATGAATTCAGTCACTCTGCTGTCATTTCTCTCTGACATGACGAAGAAGAAAAGTCCTAAAACACTGAAAAGCACACGACACATTGAAAACATGTTTGTACAAATCTTATCTAAATTCCATTTTTAATAAGTAATGAATTTAAAAAAATTATATTTTTTTTACAAAATGTTTTTGTTTTCTCTCTTAATTTATAAAGGAAAATTATTCAATGGGAAATTTATCAAACAAACAAC